ACTGTGACTGTGATGTTCTGCTGGGGCTATTTCAGGGACAGAAGCCACAGGCAGTAACCAAAGGGTAAAAAAAGATATTCACCCCAACAAACTAGGAAACAGAAGGAACATACAAAAAAGCCGAAGTGGCCATAGCAAAGTGCCACACACAAAACAGACCAATTTCTTGTCATTTTCACTACACACATATCAATCCCACGTATCTAAAGACTTTTAACTAAGGCCATTTTATTTTTCAGTCACTGGCTACAAGTGTGAGGTACTGCATGCAAAATTAACTATGAAAAGCTATTTTTCTGTTAGAGCCAGGGTTAAGACACACAGATGCCATCAATATGAGGATCTTTGTTCCTGTAGGGTAGAATCAAACATTAGTTTGGAAGCAATTTATTTTTTACAGGCGCTTTGGCTAGCCTATGTTTTAGGTGCTATGCTCAGCTTCAAAGCAAACTTAACAAAAGCTTCCTAGTTTAGTTCTGAACCCTTTATTTCATTTTGAATGAAGTTGGGAGCAATAATGCCTCACAGGGTTCAGGGTAGAGACTGATGCTTCAGGCATCTGGAAGTCACAAAGGAAAATATATTAGAGCAGGTCCATCAGAGAGAAAGTATCAGTAGTAATGGGTTACTCTGTGTCTTTTCCTGACGTTAAGAAAGCCTCTCTGAACTTTCATATATATTCTTTATTAGAAATGGCCTGTAGGTGGGTGAGATGATCATCAGAAAAGGCAATGGTGGAAACCACCTTGAAGGAGGGTTAAGGTGATTCTTCCATCTAAACTAGTCTCACCACTCACACACTTCATGCCCGCAGAACATGGAAGTTATTGGCTGCTAGCTAGAAATGTTCCAATGTCCTCTACTTCATTATTTTTCAGAAGCGATTCTGTCATTTTCCTCACATGTGACATGGAGGAGAAAATGATATTTTTTAACATTTCAGTATTTTAAACTACTACTATCCTATACAGCAACTGCAGCTCCTCTGCTGCCAGAAGTGGTTAGGCTAGACCACAAACACTGAAACCTGAGGGAATTCTGTTCCCTCAGGCACCGACTCTTTCAAAGTTACTAAGGAAACTTATTTAAATCTCTGTCCCAGTAAAGAACTCAAGATTCAAAGGCTGAGGTAGAACCCTGCTTCCTAGAGAGGCTGAATAGCAAGCAGCTTACCTCACTCATCTCCTTACGTCTCCCAAGAAGTCTTCGTGATCATTCTCACCCCTCCTTATAAACAAACCCTTCTCCACCTGGCTTCTCTCTACAATTTCCTGTCAGCTATGCTGACCCAGCCTCCTGACCACAAGTGAATTTTATTTAATCAAACACATCTTTGCATCATTAAGCAAATGTTCCAGAGCACAAACAAAAGTAATATACCTTAAATTAATAGTCTACAACAATGAATTATGTCTTTCTACAGATGGATTTTTCCATTGTACTAAACCTATTTACAAAATGTACTGCAGGTAATCCCTAACTCTGGATATGAGAATATCTGAGACGCAGGGCCTGGTCCTTGATCATTTAATGAATACTTGGGCATTTTGTTTGAAGGGTTTTGTTTTTTTAAGATGGGTCTACGTTATAGCACTTCTTAAGGGGAGGAATCAAGCACCTAAAACATGCAAATTACATGGAATCCCGGAGCAGAGAAAGAAAAGTATGCACTTAAGGAAACAAAATTCAAACCAGGTTCCTCTGGGGATGTTTGCACTCTGTGATCTGTCTTAGCACTAATGTGTTTTAGCTATGTGAAAGAAATCAAGGAAGCCACTGAAGTGATTAATGCTCTTTGTCTGCCCCAAAGGAATATGACTTTTTTCTGAGAGGACATTTCTCTATTACCATCAATAGTGGTTTTTTTCTTTTCTATTGTAATAGAAATGATAATAATAAAATGTTCTTTCTCATTTCTGTGACATCATAAAACTAAAACACTTTAGAAAGAGATGAAACAAAGAATAACTATGTGGTCATATGGTGGTGTGCAGTGACCCTATTATCATAGAGGAACAGACAGACCCCCCAAAAATGAGCAAAAGCAGGGGCCCCACCTTCTTTGTGCTGGGATTGTCTTGGGCAATTTCTATCCAACCCCATCCTCTAAAAGGGGTTAGTCAAAAGGGAAGAACTACCTGAAAACACCAACAATAGCACATTTCTGTAGTGGTTAGTGTGATGTGACTTCTACAGAATCAATCTTCAACTTCAGAGTTTCCACACCACAACACCTGATTCTCACCTGTGTTCTGTGAGGGTGGCAGAAGTTTCGCTTCTCATGGACCCATCTAAATCCAGGGCTTACGCTGATAGAAAATTTAGAGAACTCATGCCTGCCCTTCCGTGCTTCTGCAGGAAATGACACCCTGCTCTTCTTCCCTTGGGGCTTTGTGCATCCCAGTGTCCCACAGGGAGACAACAGGTCACTGATGACCCCAAGGGCTTCAGACCCAGGAAGCTTAAGAAGCATCTAACTTCCACACCCCAGTGAGTGACTTTGAATTGTAAATGAGGATTTGGCATTGTGGCATTGGCCAAGTTAGTTCAAAGGCTTGATGAGACTCTTAGTACCTACGTGGTCACATTCCTTAACATCTCTCAGTTCTGCTGTTAAAGGGAAGAAAAAGATGGGTAAGTGTTGAGAAATACCAAGGACCTGTTGTATACTACGTCTTAGTACCAATACCTGGATTGCTTTCCACTTGCTATAGTGTGGAAATAGTAGCGATTATTTCATTGTATCAGCAAAAAAAAAAAAAAAAGTAATATTAGAGTTCTCTGAGGCTACCATGACATCATTACATCTGCCTGGCTTACAACAACCCACATTTATTCTCACGGTTTTGGAGGGAGAAGTTTGAAGCCATTGTGTCAGCTAGGTGACTATTCCTTACAAGACAGAAGAGGAAGTTCCTCTCCTCAAACTTCATCCTGATTGTGTGGCTTCCACTTGCTTGTGCCTGAGTTACCCCAGTTTTTGCCCCCGTTTTTACCTGGCCATCTTCATGTCCCGGTAGGTCCTCTTCAGTCTCTTATAAGGATATTGCATTTAAATACCCACTGTAGAAGACCTGACTGAAGACAGTTAACTGGTAATACATCCTCAAAACCCTCTGTATAAATAATTTATCGTGCACAACTTTCAGGACTTTGATCTAGAGTTTGGGGAAAAGCCACTGTTCATCCCACTGCAGTTTGGGAATGTTTTCTATTATTATAAATTGATGGCATACACACTTTAAGGTTATGCCACCCTTAAAGTTTGTCCAGTCTTAATATGCAGAATAACAAAGCTTGAATCAGCACTAAACCAACAATGAATGTCTTCTTACCTAGTAATTCTGACATTCATATCACTTAAGGACTGTAGAACTATTGCTTACAGCAGACACTCAGCCAAGCCTACATATTTTCTGAGCTTTTAGGTTTCTGGTGGGGAATCACCTATACACTTAAGAAGTGCTACAGATGATTATGATATAAATAATATGCATTTAGAATTACTCAGAATCAATATACCCAAGTTGTAGAGCAGTTTCTGAAAAAGTCCAATGATATTGATATATAATATTTAAACCATGACAGCAAATGCTTGATAAATAGTATTCTAAAGGAATAGGATAGCCATGATGGCTGTGGTTAAGATGCATCATGGTGATTCTTTAATTTTAATAAGGAACTGCCTCATATTCTATGTTACCTACTAAGGGAAGCTGCCTTTTCATTTTAAAAATATTGACTTGTGTATTGCAGTCCTATGGTAAGGGTTGAACTTAGAGGTTAGAAATAGCTTTTGTATAATGCTATATCTCTTTAATGCATGTATTAGCTTCATGGAAATGAATTTGTAGTTACCTTTTCATGTGTCAGATCTGTCTTTAACTCTCAGCATTGTAAAAATCTTTTCCATTTTGCTAATACGAGTTGGCTCAGGAGTAAGACACCCTATAATAGTCATTCGTTTCTAAAGGGACCATTCTTGTTCTCATTTACATCAATCATGGCTTTTCTGAGTGTTGATTTATACCAGAATTCCCCTTTCCCACATAAATGTATTCAGAAGCTGCCTCCAAGGTACAAATTAAGGGTCTAAAATCCACTTACTGTTAAGGGACTGATGAGCCATTCATAGAAGCTGCTTGATCAAGGCAAAGATCTGGTGAAATACATGTACAAAACCATTCTCAAAATGCTGTCTTCCTCCCATAGCCCTATTTCTGGTCAGTTATTGACAGAAAATGGTGGTACCATTAGAAGAATGTACAATGGAAGTTGTTCACAATCAGAAATTTCAAATGCATTTGTCTATTTTATGGTTAATAAGTCATGCAAAATAAATCGGTCATCTATGTGTGCCTACCCTGAAATGTCACTGACATAGACAGGCAGAGAGACAGACTGACAGATAGACATGAGCAACTAGCTGGATCACATTTAGAAGATACACTGTTAGGAGAGAATGTTCTAAATCTACATTCAGTTGGTGGTAATACATTATGATTTTTAAGTCACATTGTTTAAGCCACACAATCAACTAGAAAGAAGGATTCATATGAAACACTGAAGTAAAGGCAAAATGTTATTTTATCTTGTTTTAAATATAAGGGGTTATATATATATATATATATTTATTAGGCTTCATTAAAATATCTAGTACTATGCAGGTTTGTGTTTTAAAATAACCAAAGTTAAGTAAACCTGAATTACCCATAAACTATTGTTCAATAGATTGGATTTGTGAAAAAAAGATAAGCTATATTTATGAAAATTACTGAACAATGTCCATTTGTAGCATGAAATTATCAGTGAAGCAAAGAATGATATAAGTCAAATGCATTAAAATTAATATTCTATCTCAACGGGACCCTTTCCCTTTGTGTAGACATAGGGTAAGTTCCAGGAAGCCAGCTTTCATGCTCTGAGGTCCCTGTGTCTTGTGTATAGAGTCCTTTCTTTGCTAATCAGTTCATTACAGCTGTGTGTTCTCTTTCTTGCAGTTCAGCAGGAGAGCAGTTTCATTGGCAGACACAAGGTAAAGTATGGCCACTTGAAGGAATCTCACTTCTTCTACATGTACCTATACTGATTAATTTTCTTATGAACTGTAGATTTCTAAAAGTGAATTTAAAAATACAGTAAGAATTAAGTGAAGTTATTATGATAGCTCATGATTTGGGGTGAGGGGGTTAACTTCTCTTAGTTTTATGATAACTGTATCTTCTCCAAGGATACACATAATTAACAATTGCTTTTCTGCTTGATGTCATGGCCTGCAAAGGTGTTGTCTAATAGATGTAGTATTTGATTGTTAAATAATAACCTAAAGTAGTGGTTCTCAACCTTCCTATTGCTGCAACCCTTTAATACAGCTCATCATGTTGTGGCGACTCCCAACCATAAAATTGTTTTGTTGCTACTTCGTAACTGTAATTTTGCTTCTGTTGTGAATCATAATGTAAATATCTGAAATGCAGGTGACATGCAACCCCTGTGAAAGTGCCCTTTGAGTCCCCCAAAGGGGTCATAACCCACAGATTGAGAACTGCTGACTTACAGCTTCCATATTACTCTATCATGTTTACTGTTTTACATCTCCTTTCAGATGGTCAAAAAGACATCGAAGATGAACTTACTACAGGCCTTGAGCTGGTGGACTCCTGTATTCGCTCTCTGCAGGAGTCAGGAATACTTGACCCACAGGATTACTCCACAAGCGAAAGTAGGTCAAACAGTAGTTGGTTTGGGGTCTTGGCATTTCTTTTTTTCTTAAGGTAGTCTCATGTGGCCCAGACTGTCTTCTCACTCACTATGTATGGAATCAAGGATGACTTTGAACCTCTGATTCTAACTCCTCTGTCTCTGGGATACTGGGACTACAGGCATGTCTCCACACTCTGGAATGGAAAGTTCATACTAGGCAAGCTCTCTACAAACTGAGCTACACCCCCAAACTCAGGAACCACACACAAGGGAACTAAACTAAAATAAGAGTACAGTGACTTTTTAAAACATAGCATCAGTACAGGTTATTCTAGTTGCTTATTGTTCTTGGATAAAACACCACAACCAAAGGCAACATATGTAAGAGTTTATTTTGGCTTAGGGTTGTGGGGTGGTAGTCCATGGTGAGGAATGCGTGGCAGCAGGCAAGCATAGTGGGAAGCTCTCTGATCCCATTTTGTATCACACCAGGAAATACAGAGGGCAAACTAGAATTGGGGAAGGGTATATACTCTCACGGCCTGCCCCAGTGACATAACTCCTTCCAGAAGTCTTCCTGCTCTAAGCCTCCCCAAACAGTGACACCAACTGGAAAACAAATGTCAGATACAGAGACATTTCTCAAACTACCCCACAGGCCATATGTAATAAAAGCTTCATAATATCTTTATCTTTCTTCACTCTCAGCAATTCCATCATGGCCCTTAGGTTACATAGTCTCCAAGTCAGCAGTTTTTCACCCAAGCTTCAGCTTCTTGACATAGTTTGTGAACTTACGTATTTGTTTAACAAACACAACAATTGCCTTAAAATTAATTGTTCCAATGGATCATTGCTGGGAGAGATCTTCATGACCCCAATTATATAACAAAATTGGTTTTCCATATAGTATAATCATTCTTAACTACTCTGTACTATGCCAAAGCAATATGCAACAACTTTACATTTCTATATTTAAATTGTGTTATTGGTATGGTATTTAAAGAGTTATTCATATATAGTTACATTTTTCACCTAGAACAATTGAAGCTTATAAATAAAGAGTGCATACATTGGAATGAACCAACCCTTTATTAGTAAATTTCTGTGGACTTCTTTTAGCAAAATTTCACAAATGACGCTATCACAGTATCAAAACTCGCATTATCTTGGTAATGCCAGCATCAAAAAATCAATGAAGCATTTAAAAAATTACATTTTCTTGACTGCACATCAAGGTTTGTCATAAAAAAGGAACACACAAGAAAAAGATACCATAGTTGTTTTTTAAATAATTTAATTTACATATTGCTTTCTCTATACTATCATTTCTCTATAGCATGTGTCATGCCACTATTATTTTAGATAGTCATTGTGCTTACCTAGACATGTTCAGAGAAAATTCCTGCATTTATACTCACAAAATAAGATGCAGAGTTGACACTATAATTGGTCTCCATGTTTGTATTTTAAAATATACAATTCCCACGGCTTTTGATGGAATTATGGTATCAAAGTGTGGTTAATCAGTACTTGAAATGCACGCAGTGTATGGGAGAGTACAGAAAGCAGCACACAGCACAGTGTGTCCTCTTACTCAGAGGGGAGCAGGGATTAGGTGTCTCCTTTTCCTATAATAGAGCAGAATATTTGATCGTTAGTTTTAGAAAAAAGGTTGGCCTTTAATAAATAGAAAGTAGAAATGAATAAATAAAAGAGAAAAATAAGAGATAAGTGAATTAAAACAGAAGATTTAAGCCCCATTATATCAACTTCACTCTTTCTTTAAGGACACTGAATTATCTTCTAAAAAATATCAATAATTCAGACGTGGTAAACAGAGCTAAAATTGTTATATTATCTTTACATGAAGCAAGATCAGTGAGATAAATAGAAATTAAAGGAGTAAACAATACTATGCCAGCAGTTGCAGTGAATGCAGAGTAAAATGAAGCATACTGTAAGGTAGAATAGAAATTACTACTAAAGACATAGTCAGGATTTTAAAGAGGGGAGTGAGGTATCAAAGCTGTTTTCCCTTATGAAGATCGGATGAACGGAAGACTCCACAGGAAAGAAATACAACAGCACAGGTTCTGGGTGATAAGACAAAAATTCAAAACTCAATGATCAGCCCTGAAAACTTACATACTGGTAACAGTATATAGACTAAGCAGGTTATATTTTGGAATATATATGTATGCATGTAATGTTAATTAATGAAAACACAGGCCATGAATTTGAAAGAGCATGAAGAGTTATATGGGAGGATTTGGAGGTAAATGATGTCATCATAATCTCAAAAATAAAAGCAATAAAGTATTAAGTTGCCCTCATCAGTGCACACTTAGATTGAATGATAAAAGAAAGAGTGCAAGAAAAGTAGATGTTACTTAACAAGTGATAAGCAGAGGCTGTGGAAGTGATTGCATTAGCAGACTGCTTAGGTAGCAGGCTCAGAACCTAGTGTTCAATCCCCCAGGATAATGCACATCTGAATCTCAATCCTTGGTATATAGAGACAGGAGAATCAGAGAGTCAAGACTACTGAGTGAGTTTGAGGCCAGATGGATTAGATGAGTCTCTGTCTCAATTAATAAATAGCAAATAAGAAAATATTTGAAAAATCGACATATTTAATATAATTCCAACTTTTGTCATGTGATTATAAAAATATCTAACCAGGAAATTTTGGCATGAAGGATCAGAGAGGAAATAAAGACATTAGAGAAAAAGTTCACATTCGCTGATAATAATTCACAAAATTAAAAACATAAATAAGGATACCCAGGAGCCATGCCTCTGGGAAGTGTTGACGCCAATGAGAAAATTATGCACTATTTACAAAACAAGAATGTTTCACAATAAAACTTGTATTTGGTGGAAATCTAAACTTCACTACTAAAAATATAGGAATGTCATATTTATTTTTGGGAAATCTTAAGAGCCAAACAAAGTCTGTAGAGATAACTAAGTGGTTTACTGTGCATGCAGCTTTTGCAAAGGACCTGAGTTTGTCTCTCAGCACCACATGAGGCAGCTTACAGCCCACTCTAACCCCAGTGCTAGGGAAACCTGATTCTGTCTTCTCGACTCCTTAGGAACCTTCACTCACATGTATGCATTTTCACTAGGAGACATACATGTGCACGCTTAACTAAAAATAATTACAAACAAGCTAAATAAAAAAACAGCAAGAAAGATGGAAATAGAAAAAAGGTTTTCAGAAACCAAACAACAAAATGAAATAGTTGAACAAGTAGCCACCCTTACCTTCTCAGTTGAGAAGCTCTCTTAGATTTAAAGGACACTAAAAGAAGCTCTGCTGAAGGCTTTCCTTCTCTTGAAGTGCATGCTGAAAAGTCATCCACAAATGGCCCCACCCTTATTTTTATGCCTTACAGGGCAGTTAAACACTCCAGTCATTGCAGATACATTTTGTACTTGTGTTTTAAGGACGATTACATAATTTCTATAATGGACTGAGTAGTCTGATTCAAGATAGCTAAGATTTTCTCCTAAGCTCTGGCATCCAGCTTTAAAGAAAGGAAAGGTCACCAAAGCAAACTGCTTGCTAGCAAGGCAGCTAGCTGCTCTTCAGACCTGTGTTTGCTTTTCTGCATTGCATACAAGTGCACTCACATAGTATCTGCTTTGAATTGTAACTGTGAGGTTTGTTCATTCTGTTACAGAACACTACTTTAATTCTTTCAGTACTAAATAGAGTTATATTGTAAAAATATATTACAACTTACTTGTCCTCTGGAATGTTGATTGCTATTTGACTGTTTTCTAATTTGGGAGATATATATATATATATATATATATATATATTCAGATGATGAAGGCAGCACCAAATTTTTGTGCCAAAGGCTTGTGAGCCATAGCCATGTGGGAAATGATGTTACTCAGCAAAGAAATCTGCTCGTAACAATTTCAGAAGCCCTTTGAGACTAAAGTCACAGTATAAAATTCAGAAGAAAAATTGAAAATATTGGACGCATAACTATGATTGGGGATATCAATGCATTGCTGATGTCAAGTGTTGAAAGGATCTGAAGATTAAAATGTCAGGTGTTCCCCATATGTCTGTCAGTTATGGGTCAGACAGGATAGAGATTCTATTCAAAGAAGGTTAACTAAAAGCAGTTTAATTAAGAGGCTATTTACAAAGAGATGGGTGAGATTAAAGGAGGAGTCAGCACATGCTGGAACTCCCGGGAATTAGTAACAAACTGACAGAAGCTGTCACCACCCTTGAACCTGAAGGAACTTACTAGAACTGGTAGAAGCAGAGTCAAGCATCAGGAATATAGTACTGATAAACCTAATCTCCTTGCTCCTTTCCTAAATTCCCCACCTCACCCCACCCGCACTTCTGCCAGATCTCACAAGTGCCAGGCCTCCTTGTCAATAGAGGAATTGAAAGGAGTGAGTATGGAGGTCAAAAGTTTAGCCAGCATAGTGGTCTACTGTGCAGTGCAATACTATCCAGTGTGAATGCTCTTGGTCTAGAAACAGCACACAGATATGTAGTGCTCTTGGATACATCCATCTAATTAGCCAAAGCACATCAGATTTGGGGAGTCCCTTGTGATTATTCAATCAATGACTTCATTAGCTAGAATAGCTGTGAACTAGCTAATGCTAAATTGAACCTGGCATCATGCCCTTGAGTCTCCTAATCCCCACTCAAAGGGGACTGAAACAACACTAAATAAGTCTAAATCAGCCTGGAAAAAATATTAAATAGGAAGCTATTTCATTACCTAAGCATGTGCTACTTGACTTGTTATAGCTAAAGCTTTTGTTATTTTTCTTCCCAAGACTGATTCAAAATAAATGTTAAATCATAGTAACCTTGTCTTCAGAATGCCATAATGAGCAGTAACTATCCAGCTATATTAATTTATGATGTGATAGTTGTAAATATCTCCCAACTCTGTTTTTTAAAAACACTGTCCTGAACAGTATGTAAAACATGAACAACAAACAGCCTTTGCTGCCATGCCATTTTCT